GAGCTGTAAAACACTGGTCTCAAAACCTCAAGAAAGAGCTTCCTTCCCCTGGTGACACTTTAAGACTGTGGAGTTTAAGATCTGTGGATTTATGAGAGCAGTGCCTTGAAGAGAGAGAGTGAAAAAAAGGGTGGAAGGGGGCAGACCAGAGGCAAGACAGAGGTGACAGAGCTTAGTCCTCAAAGGCCTCTGGGGTCACGAATGTTATTGTTCCAGTGTGCACCGGTCTGTACCAGGCCCGCAGGGCCCTGTGCCCCCAAGCCCAGATGAAGATCCTGTACACAGCCTCCACCCTCTGTCAGGGGCAGGGCCACAGGACCCAGGGCAGAAGGGACGGATGGGCCCCCTGTCTTAAGAGGAGAGAAGTGGGGGAGGAGCGGCTCCACCAGGAAACCAGGGCAGAGCAGGAACAATAGCGAGGTTCCTTCCGTCCTTGTTTTCCTTGTTTTCTTTGGCCTCTTAGCTGCCATGGAGCCCAGATCCTGCTCCTCCAGGTCCTTGACTTTCCTCCGGCCCGCCCCTCAGCCCCCTGACAGAGGAGCGCCTGTTCCCTCCCTCTGCTGCCCCGTCCTGCTGCGCTCCACACACAGCCCTCAGGAGGCTTTTAAAATTACAGTCACAATGTGAGGAAACTTTATGGAGCCTCACTCTCTGCCAAGCACTAATCTGAGTACTTCCCAAAGATGGGGCATAGTAGCGGTGGAGGCGTCTTTACTGCAGCTCCACTCTTGGGATCTTGGGGGTCCATCCTTGCCCCTCTTCCAAGCTCTCAAGGGCCCTCCAGCCTCATTCCCCACATACCTACCCAGGGATTAGGGAAGAGGGAAGGATGGGAGGGGTGTGGGTGGGGGGAAGAAGGGGCGGCGGAGAGGGGGCACTGGGAAGGGCTGGAAGACAGTGTTACCCAGTCCACGGGCGGGAGAACTTGACTTTGGGGGAACCAAAAAGACCACATGTAAGACATTCAGACGTGGAAAATGATGCAACGACTGGCAGAGACAAAGTCACAGAGAGCAAAAGAGATGAGGAAAGGTGAAACAGAGAGTAGATGCTAGGATGGCCAAGTCCGGGGCAGGCTATGAGCACGGTGCTCATTATCCCCAAACGCCCCGGCTCGAATCCAGGAGGTCTGCCCCGCCCGAGTCAGGGAGAGGCCCGCGATGACCAGACCGCCCCGCACGGCCCTGCCCGGCCGGCCGGCCGCCCCCGCCACCGCGGGCCCGCAGGGAGCTGGGTGGCGGCGACGCTGTCCTCAGGGAAGCGCATCATTCCAGCCCGGCCGGGCACGAGGCCGGGTCAGAATGCCCAGGTCGCAGGAGGAAAAGTAGGAGCTGGACCCAGCTCCCGGAGAGAAGAAAAGGGGAAGACCACGGCCAGAGATCGAGGCTCAGCGGAGGCACCCGTCCGGAAGGCCGAAGAACGGGAGAGCCCAGAGCCAGCAAAGTCTCCCCGGGAGCCCGGGACAGACTGAGTGGACTAAGAGCGCGGGAGACGCCCGGAGTGCACTATGCGCGGGTTCCAGCCCGCCCAGCCGGTCTACATCGCCGGCCGGGTCACGTGGCCCCAGAGGGCGTGCGGCTGCCCGGGCGGGGGGGCGCGCGGGGCCGGGGGCCGCTGCGAGCCCGCGGCGGCCCTGAAGTTCCCTCCCTGCGCGCAGTGCTGGCCCCCGGGTGCGGGAGCCGCCCACTGCCCCCCCGGGCCCGCCCCGCCGCGGGCCGCCTGCCTGGTATATAGCGCGCCCCCGCAGGCCCCGTGCCACGTCGCTAGCCACGCCGCGGGCACCCAAGACCGTGCGGCGCCCCCGAGCCAGCCCCCCGCCCCCTGCGCCGCCGCCCCGACGGGCGACCCCTGCGGGGGCTACTGCCTAAAGACCATGAAGAAGGAGGTGTGCTCCGTGGCCTTCCTCAAGGCAGTGTTCGCCGAGTTCCTGGCCACCCTCATCTTCGTCTTCTTCGGCCTCGGCTCAGCCCTCAAGTGGCCGTCGGCAATGCCCAGCGTCCTGCAGATCTCGCTGGCCTTCGGCCTGGCCATAGGTACCATGGCCCAGGCCCTGGGGCCAGTGAGCGGTGGCCACATGAACCCCGCCATCACGCTGGCCCTCCTAGTGGGTAACCAGATCTCCCTGCTCCGGGCGGTCTTCTACCTGGTGGCCCAGCTGGTGGGCGCCATTGCTGGGGCCGCAATCCTCTACGGGCTGGCACCGTCCAACGCCCGAGGCAATCTGGCTGTCAATGCGGTGAGTGCCCGGGGGGCTGGCTGTGGGGCAGGGACCCTGGGGTGGGCTCTGGACCCGGCCCCCAAGCCCCATCTCTGGAATGGGTGGCACAGAGTAGACCAGCCAGCTCATACCTTTGCCAAGAAGGTCATAGCATCCTAAGGCCAGGAAGGTGAATCTCCGCTGCTGTGTGTGCTCTCAGCCGACTCCTCTGGTTCCTATCCGCCTCCTCTGCCTGCCCAACCCCCTCGTGCTGCCCCATCCCAGCCTCTGTCCCGGTGCCTACTGCCTGCCTTTTCTTACCCCAGAACTTCTCTCTTCTTCTTGTCTTACCTCCAAGTTCTTCTGTCCTCCTGGGCACCTGATCGCTCTTGTGTGGTCCTCAGTGGAGTGGCCTCATGGAACCATCAGAGAGAGCTGGGTTGTGATCCTGGCTTTGGTGACCCCAGCCTCTCTGGGTTTTGTTTTTCTCCTTCTTATTAGGTGGGAATGGCCATGACCTCCATAGAGTAGGGCTTGGGGTTATGTTTAGAAGCCAGCCTTGTGAACTCCCTAATGAAGTGCCGGTACAAATGTTCTCTGATGAATATTGGTTTCGGCTCCTGGCCCCCTCCCCTTCCCCCCATCCCTGCCACCCCAGTTTCAGCCCCCTTGTCCCATGCAAACTGGGTTCATTAATCAAACACAGAGGAGGATTTTCTCGGCCATTGTCAAACCATGAGTCAGCCCCACCGGAGAGACGGGTTTGAGGTTTGGAACTGGCAGCGGGTCAGGCACGGGCAGGAGGCGGGCTTGGGGGTGCAGTAAGAAAACTGGGCAGCTGCCCACAGGAGGGAGGGTAAATGCCAGCTTGTGGGGGTTGGGGCCTGGGCAGACCGGTGCTGGGCCAGTGTCCAGGAAGAGGTCCCCCAGCTTTGTCAGTTGGGCCACAGCTTTGCGTTCCAAGCTGTGTGAGCACTGGCAAGTATATAGTCTCTCTGGCAAGTGACCTCCCTGAAGTGACAAAGCTTGGCTTCCAGGCACTTGGGCTCTAGGAGTCCCTGGAGACCAAGAGCCCCATCCCTGCAGGTCCCTGGCCTTAGAGGCAGAAGAAGGCAGGGCTCCTAACACACCATCCCCTTGCAGCTCAACAACAACACGACCGCGGGCCAGGCTGTGGTGGCGGAAATGATTCTGACCTTCCAGCTGGCACTCTGCGTCTTCTCCTCCACTGACTCCCGCCGCACCAGCCCCGTGGGCTCCCCAGCCCTGTCCATTGGTCTGTCCGTCACACTGGGCCACCTAGTGGGGGTGAGCAAAGGCGCCATTTGGCCCCTCAGGGCAAATAATGGGGCCCTGGGGCAGCACCTTCTGGATCATCGAGCCCCCAGTGAAGACCTAGAGTGGAGCTACTATACTCTGGCCCAGACCCAATCCCCTCAAACCTTCTCTGAGAAAATATGGGAGTGAGGGCGAGTTGGGATGGGGGCAGGAAACCAAGCCCAAGCTCAGGACAGAGAGAAAAGGAGGGATCCAGAGGGAACTGTGAAGGGAAAGGTCACCAGTCTAGGAATCGGGAGACAGTCGGAGACCTGGCTGAGCCCCTGAACTGCTAGGGGACCCCAGGGTGGGTCCAGGCCTTGTGGGAGTGAACAGGCATGCTGCCCTCCTCACAGCCTCCTTCTCTCTGTCTAGATCTACTTCACAGGCTGCTCCATGAACCCGGCCCGATCTTTCGGTCCCGCAGTAATCATGAGTCGGTTCAGCTCCGCACACTGGGTAAGTCTGGACTCTCCCCTGTCTCCCTGGCAGTGAGCACCTAGAAACCCAGCCTTAGCAGCTGACAGTTAACAGGACTTTCTGGATGATGGGGGCCCAGAGCTTGGGGGTGACTGAAGAGAGATGGGGATGCAGCCAGAACAAGGGCAGGGGCAGATTTAGATGGCAGGGGACCCTGTTTGGGGGTCAAGGGCGGGGGGCAGGGACTATGCGTGTCTGTCCCTCTAGGGAAGGGAAGAGCATGCATCTGTGCTCCAGTGTTGGTCTCTGAGGATTTGGTTTCCATCTTTCAGGGTGGTGGGGGGCAGGGAGGTCCAAGTGTCTGTCCTCTCTGATGTATTATTTATCTGTCCCTGTTGGGGACTGGGGAGAATCTTCCTTCCTGTGGGTCTGTCCCTCTTGACAATTTGTCTGTTATCTCCTTTGAGAGCTCATGGTCTCTCTCCAGAGTCTGTCTCTCTCCCTGTGTGGAAGGGAGAGGAGCTATGTTCATCTCTCTGAGGATCTCCATGTCTGTTCTCTCTGAAGGTTCATTTGTCTCTCTTTAGGGTGGGGTTGGTGGGCTTCCCAGGGGCGCTAGTGGTAAAGAACCTGCCTGCCAATGCAGGAGACATAAGAGACTGAGGATTCGATCCCTGGGTCGGGGAGATCCCCTGGAGAAGGACACGGCAAACCACTCCTGTATTCTTGCCTGGGGAATTCCATGGACAGAGAAGCCTAGCAGACTGCAGTCCATACAGTCGCAAAGAGTCAAATGCGACTTGCAGCATGGCATAGTGGGGTTGGCGGGAGCCCTGTCCCTCTGGGGATGTCCATCTCCTCTCAGGACCTGGGTATCAGTGTCCTTTGTCATTGGGGAGTGGGGTATCAGTCAATCTGTCCCTGCAAAAGGGCGAATTCTTTCCTTCCGGAGATGTGGGAGTGTCTACGTCTGTCTCCTCTGCGAGGCCCCTGGGTCTGTCCTCTGGAGGGGAGGTCTCGGCTCCAGGGCCTGGGCTCAGCTCTGCCGCTGCCCTGTCTCTGCCAGGTGTTCTGGGTGGGGCCCATCGTGGGGGCTGCCACGGCTGCCATCATCTACTTCTACCTGCTCTTCCCCCACTCCCTGAGCCTGAGTGATCGTGCGGCCATCCTCAAGGGCACGTATGAGCCCGACGAGGACTGGGAGGAGAACCGAGAGGAGCGGAAGAAGACCATGGAGCTGACCGCCCACTGACCAGCATCACACAGGGGTCAGCCTCTCAGCCCCTGAACCGCAGGGGAGAAGAGGAGACGTGCCTGACAGCAAGGCCTCCTCCGCCCGCAGCCGGGTCCTGCGGGCTGGGGCGGAGGTGCTGCTCGCCAGGCTGCGCAGTAAAGAGTTGGAAGCAAGAACACAGGATGGGACTCTTGGGGTAGGGGGCCAGGGGCTGGGGGCTGATGGGGAAGGGACAGGAAGGTCAGACCTCAGGGGTGGTGAGCTCAGTGCAGGCTGCGCCGGGGCCAGGCCAGGAAGGGGTGGCTTGGCAGTCTGTATCCCCTCCTCCTCCCCAGCCCCTCTTCAAGAGCCAGGAGGACCCCAGCCCCTGGGATGACAGGTGTTGACCCACTCCAGAGCTCCTTAGGTTCATTACATGCCACTTTATTTATTTCTGCTCAAGGATGCAGGGGGTAGGCTGCTGGTGTTTAAGGTGGGGGCTTCCCAATAAACCACTGACATTCATGTTTGGCCTGTCTTGCTCCAGAAGCCTCTCTCAGGATACTGTAGCTCCTCACCTTTCCTCTGCATCATCCCACAGCCCCCTCCACATTCTCCACAATCCTCTGCAGAAAGACAGGGAAACTGAGGCCAGGAGAGGCTTAGAGAGTCAGAGAGGCGGGGTTGAGAGGTCAGAGAGACCAAATGTAGGAACAGAGCTGGAGGTCAGGAGGGGGCAGTGGGAGCAGAGAAGGTCCTCACCAAGCGGCCTGCCTTCTCACCCCTCTGTCCTCAGCTATGTCAAGTCCTTGCCACTTGAGGAGGGCCTGGCACCAGAGTCAGGGTGTGCTTAGCAGGGCGGAGGAGAAGTGAACCGGCCAGCAGCCCCTTGAGATGCCAAGGGGGTGACCAGCCAGGTCTGTCATCGGGCCAGGAGACACAGTCCCGGACTCCACTCTCGGCCCCTTGAGGTTCCAGAAAGGTGCCACGTTGGGAGCCTGTACTCAGAGGGAGAAGCCCCCTGCCCCCACCCCTATCGGAAGCCATACCCGACCCACCTCTTTTCTGGGTCTGCCTCCACCAGCCAGGGTTCCCACCATCTTCCCCTTGACCTGCAGCTCTGCCCTTACTGCTCTTGTCCTCTTGCCACTGACATTCCTTAGGACACCTCCTTAAACTCACCAAGCCTCTGCCTCTTAAACTATAAAATGAGAATAAAAAAATGCTTCCCTCACAGGGTTGTTGTGGGGTCAGATTAAGGGAGGGAGTGAGATTCCTGGGACTGTGGGGAGAGGGGTAAATAAAGCTCAGGACACAGCTCTGCATCAGAGTTAGAGTCCGGCTTGGAGTTCAAGTCTGGTTGTACAACTCTGGATGACACAAGCTGTCCAAGTTTTAATTACTTCATCTGTAAAATGGGGATATTTGTACCCATTTCGTGGATTGTTGTGAAGATAAAATGAGACAATGGATAGAAAGGAAACACTTGTGCAGACATCTCAAATCAAGGGCTCGATTTGCTTGTATGCAAAGAAACCAGCGTGTCCACAGCTGGGCCCTCAGCCACACCCCAGTTCTGGAGGGCCTCTGCTTTCCTGAGAGTGTTTAACCGAAGCTCCCACTTCTCCCTGGTGTGGGAACCTCTCCTTGTGGTTTTCAGTTTTGCTCCAGAAGAGAAGGGGCCAGGACATGGACTGAAAAGGGATGGGAGAAGCTATTGATAGTGGCTGACAAGGGTCAGTCCCAGGGGATGGGGGTGGGGTGGTGGATGTGTGAGAGCTCAGTTGCTGTTGTCATGTCTGACTCTTAGCAACCCCATGCACTGTAGCCCGAGAGGCTCCTCTGTTCATGGGATTCTTCAGGCAAAAATACTGGAATGGGTTGCCACGACCTCCTCCAGGGGATCTTCCTCACCCAGGGATGATTGAACCCACGTCTCCTGCATCTCCTGCATTGCAGGCAGATTCTTTACTGCTGAGCCACTGGAGAAGCCCAAACTTGGGTCTGAAGAAGTGAAGTGAAGTCACTCAGTTGTATCTGAATCTTTGCAACCCCATGGACTGTAGCGTATCAGGCTCCTCCGTCCATGGGATTTTCCAAGCAAGAGTGCTGGAGTGAGTTGCCATTTCCTTCTCCAGGGGATCTTCCCGACTCAGGGATCGAACCTCGGTCTCCCTCATTGTAGGCAGACGCTTTTACCGTCTGAGCCACCAGGGAAGTCTTGGGTCTAATATCTGTAAATGGGGGCTGCGGCCAGCCCTGCCCTGTCCTGCCTGCCTGTCAGTGTGTGTATGAAGCCACAGTGAAGGAGCACATCCGCCCCGACAGCTGCCTCCACCCCTGCCTCTATCCAAGAGCCCGGCGCAAGTGCCAGCTCTGACCAGCAGGGGGGGACCTCGTCCACCGAATCCATCGCTGCTGAGCCTCCTCTTCCCCTAAGTCCCGGGTCTGGGCTCCAGCCAGATGGAGAGCCGATGAGAGGGCACCTGAAGTCTTTCAGGTCTGGGTCCTCTGGACCAGCCCGCCCCAGCCCACCCCACTGTCGGGGAGTGGGTACAGAAGAGAGGGTATTCGTTCCCCACTCACCGCCTCCTCTTTGCCCAAGGGCGGCCAGTTTCACCAGGTAGGAAGGTGGACACGGTGATAGGATGGAGAGATGGAGGAGGATCAGGGGTCAAGGCAGAGAATAGTGTTGGCTGTCTAGATGAATGGACAGGAGGTGGGGTGACTGGGAGGGTTGGCTCTTTCAACCCCAATCTGTGGATCAGTATATCAGACCTCACCCTTCCACACGGCTCAGGTGAGGTACAGTCGTGACTGGGAGCCTGGCCTCTCCATCCAGCCCAGCAACTTGGTTCCTTTCTCGGACGGACCCCAAGGGAAGCAGGACGGGGTGAATGGTGGGTCGATGAGGGACAGACCTTCAGGGATGGGCGGGGCACCCTGTCCGAGGGAGTCCGCGGACTAGGTGCCACGCGCCCGGCTATTTGGCCAGCAGAGGGCGCTGCGCCCCCTCCTGTCGGATCCTCTCCGAGCAGCTCGAGTCCCAGGCTGGCAGAGACCTGCGCACACACCGACCAGCACACGCTAACCCCGCTCTGCGCGGATCTCCGGTTGTACCCAGCGGGCTGCGTCTTCTCCGCGTAGACTTCTCGCTCCGCATGTGTGCAGAGCCGCATCGCCTGTTCTCCATTCCTTCTCACAGGACCCCTGGGGATCAGACCTTGGTACCTGGCTCCACGTGTTCTCTGAGGGGTACACGTGTGTGTCCTATCCCAGCACACACATGCTCAGTCACCCCCTCTGACCCTCTGCTCCACCTGAAGACAGAACCCAGACGAGCCTTCCTTCTCCGTAGGCTGCTTCCTCCCTTTCCCCTCCCCCTGTGTCCAGGGATGGCCAGTTTCCCCAAGTGGACATGGTGACATGATGGAGAGATGGAGGGCTAGCGGTCAAGGCAGAGAATGGGCACAGGGTTGACTGTCTAGATGGATGGACAAGAGGAGGGGTTGCTGGGAGGGTCGGCTCTCTCAGCCACCCTCTGAGCCTTTGCTTCCTCTTTCCAGGTTTTAGTGCAGTGGGTGAGGGGATACGAGGGAGATGACCTTGAATCCTTCCCTTTCTGTCATGTTTATTGTTCCTCCTCATCATCTCCCCATCATCCCTCCTCCTTTCTCTCCTTCTTGCTCCCCCATCCCTTCCCAGCCCTGGGATAGGACCTTAGTCAGCACTCACGCTGCCCCAAGTGGACTTGCACACACACACACACACACACACACACACACACACATCTGCTCGTACGCGGAGATGCCCACCCTGGCAGTCTAGGGAGCCCAGAGACAGGCCTCTGACGAGTGAGAGCGCACGTCTACTTGACAGGCAGCTGTAGACAGCCAGGTGTGGGGCTTGACAAAAACTCTTGGAGCGTGAGTGACCTCAAAAGCATGCCACCAGGGCCCCGGAAGGCTAGGTCCAGGGACATGCTGGCTACAGCAAGTTCTGGCCAATGTCCACCTGTCCTGGACAGGTGAATGACCAAGTTCCAGGCCAGGCAGGATCCCAAGAGACGCTGCTCCATGTCAGCTGGAGACCAGGGCCACCACCCACTGAAGGCTCTCAACCCCAGGGCCCAGAGCAAGGGCCTCAGGTGCTGTTTGTCCTGGACCATTTCTAACCCAGCACGGTCTTCACAGCTCTCACTGGAGTGGGAAGGGAGGTGACAATCCTAATAATTACCATTTTCTGACTTTCTCCAAGGCATCAGCACATTCACTCCTAACAACATATTAGGGAGGTGGGAACTAACATCTCCACTTTTTTTTTGGCCCGGAGGCACAGATTGCAGGATCTTAGTTCCCCAACCAGGGACTGAAACCTGGCCCCCGGCAGTGAAAACTCAGAATGCTAACCACTGAACCACCAGGGAATTCCCATCATCTCCACTTTAAAAGTGGGGAAGCTGAGGTGACAGCAGTTAAACACTGGTCAGGGGTGCAGAGCACACGGCAGTATTCAAATGCTTTCTCTTTCTTTTCAAAGGTTCTCAATAGACAGGCATTATTGCTGTTTGGTGCCTGTGTACGGGTGCAGAAATTGAGGCCAGGTAATATGCAGGGACTGGGGAGTGTCTGTCCTCAGGCCCTCTATGACCCTGTCTGAGGGGAGCAAAGGAGGGAGATGCCCTTGAAATTCCCTGGGACAGCCCCGAGGCAGGGAATTCCCCCCACTCCTCCGTGCCAGGGACTAATGTCACTCACACTGTCCCCGCAGCCACATTCCTTCAGTCTTGAGTGTTTCTTGAAAGATTCCTTCATGCCATGCAAGCCTGGGAGTCTGCACGGGAACAGTGGCAGCACCAAGGAGGTCAAAGCCAGAAGTAGGCACTAGTTATTCCCAAGCCCATCTTCTCTATGAAGTTTGCCCTGACTCTGCTGGAGGGGGGAAATTAGGGCAGGCTTCATAGAGGAATTGAACTTGAGCAAAGTCTTGAAAGAAAACCAAAGAAGAAAGGCATTCCAAACCCAGAGTCTCCACTACTCGGTGATTACCCAGGCACGTTACAAAGAGCCAGCCAGGAAGAGGGAGAAGTGAAAATCACAGATGAGGCTGGGAATGGCCAAGAGAGGTCCCCAGTCACTCAAAGGGAGCCAGGAACCCAAGGAGGGGCCCAGGAGAAGGGCTGCCTCTTCTTCAGGACCAGAGGGAAGCTGGCAAGGGCATAGGGGGCTGCAGGTGAGCTTGCAGCTGCAGGGGCAGGGGACGGGGGAGGATATGCGAAGACTTGCCAGCTGGTTTCACTTTCTAGGTACGACAAGAGGCAAATCGATCTGCTGGAAGAAAGCCAGAGCAAGGTAGGATACTCAAAGAGAGTAGGGAAGATTTGAAGTAGGGCTTAGAAGAATAAGGAGAGAGCTGCCTGGGGACTGTGTGGTGTACAGATTACTGAGACCCCCTCCTGAGGCCAGAGACCATGGGCTTGTCAAGGCAACAGTCTGCATGGCTGGGCGAGTTTCTCCAGCAGGGCTCATCAGCACAGATGGGAGCAGAAGGGTGTGGAGGAGAATGTGCATGGAGGGAAACAGTGGGGGGCAGGGAGGGCAGGGTGCAGAGAATGGGGAGCTGGGACAGAGGACACTGCAAGGTGAGATGCCAGGGGATCTGGCTGGACAGGGTAGAGTCAGGTCAGGAGGTGGGATGAACAGAAAGGGGAGGGGGGAGCGATGTAGCTGGAATTGAAGTGGGGGAGGGTGGATGGACAGAGCCTGTGGTCACAGTCGGGATAGTTCAGTTGAAGATTTCAGAAGGCCTGTCCCAGGTAAGGACAGGTATAATAAGGCTGTAAGGTGAGCTGGCT